TGAAATAGTCAATGATAAAAATAAAGTTTTTATTAAATTTTATACTCTGTAATTTACTACTTGCTCATTCTATGGTAACCACACCTACCTACCAACAAACTTCCTCATCCTGGTACAATTGATCAGATTGTGAGGTAGCTAGGCCTCAAAGTAAGATGTGTCACAGAAAAAGATTTATTAATGTCCATTGAAGCAACTCAAATATAGAGTAAAAACTTTAAACATAGCAGAGAGGATTTGAGATAGTGTTAAATTTTATCCTAATATCTATTGTAGAGTGCTCAGTAATTTTCTGATGTCACTGAAATTTTTTTTTTGTGGAACCTGAGATTGAACTCAGGCCCTTGTGCTTGCCAGGGAAGCGCTTATTCCACTGAGCCATCTCCCCAAACTCTCTCACTAGTACTCTGATAACTATGTCTATAGAAGAGGCATAATAACAGACACAGGGAAGATGACCATGTGGCAACAGAGGCAAGGATTGAAGTGAAGCATCTTCAAGTCAGGACATAGGACACAAGGATATCAAACATTAGCAGAAGGAAGAGTGACACAAGAAAGAATTCTCTCCAGAGCCATATGGAGGTGGAACCAATCTATTGCATAGACACTCAGAAAAATGAAAGTAATATGAAACAGATTTAATTATAATATTGAGAAAACAGAATGGCCAAAACAGCCAGTGAACTGCTTAATAGGATAAGCTCAAACTGATGTGCTCAGCATAGGGTCTTTGTCTTTTCTATACTTACAGGGATAAGCTGATTCCTGAATAACTATTTCATGCATTTTTATAATCTAGGCCAAACAAGATCTAAGCCTTTGCTTCTGGGATGAGCCAATGTTCACAGGGTCTAACAGGCACACATCAGATGCATGCAACAGAGAGCAACTTCCCTAAGTACATGATGTATTGTAAGCTTGTGGTTAACTTTATCATCTCCATCACATTAGTCACCCAGTTTATGCCCTATGCTACCTAACTCCCCTAAACTATCCTGTAATATCAGACTTCTAGTTCATAAACTTCTCACAATTTTCACAATTATTTCTTATGAACCTTATTATCTCATACAAAATGAGCAGAATTAACTGCAACTTGGACATTGACTTATGTTTTATCATTTACATTCATTTGTTAAAGAAGACAAAAATTATTTCTGCATTACCATATAAAAGAGCAAAATCATTTAAAATACTTGCAATACAGTTGCTTTTACATAGTCTACATACTTAACCCTGACTCTTGACTAAGCATCATTTCCTGTGTGTAGTGAACCCCCACGCTGGGCACTGTGTCCAGACACTGTACTCATGCTCAATATTCCCCTCTCCTTGATTACATGGTGGGCTGACAAGACATGGGATCAGCAGGACCCTCCCCAGCATTTATCCTTTTCTAATGCATAAAAGTAGCAAGACAAAGTTCAGAGATTCAGTTATGTGGAAAAAGTTTTGTAAAGAGAACATGTAAAAGGAAAAAGGCAAATAATAGGGAAAAAAGTAGGTGGAGTGTTTTGGATGAATTGAATCCCATTTCTCATGCACCCTCTTAAGAAGTGTCACCTTACTGTGAAATCTACCAGCTTTGTGTACCAAACATACTTGAATTGGCTTTCTGTCATTTATAATGAGAATTGTTACTTATAGATCCAAAACTGTGTATCATATTTAATACCTTGTGTTTTAACAAATGACTCAGATAGATTCACATTTTACTGTATCACAAAACTCAAGGAAGAATTTTAAGATAAATGTTTACAACTCAGAGGGAGATGGAACATGCCAATGTTTCAGCCCAGTAAAATGCTCATTGAAGGTAAAGGCCACCACTTCGGGCCTTTGTATTGAGCTCAAGCTATTATATGTTAATCATTAATGATAAAGGGTGCTACTTTGAGGAAATAATTAGTCATATTTTATCTTTATGTTAGAAGCCTAAATGAATTGAACAGATAATTCAATATCTAAATTTTTATGATTAACTACAAGCTGTTCAGAAAGAAAAATAAGGACAATATAATGACTAATTTGTAGTTTTCAATGGATCCTTAAAAGACCAAAGACAATCTGACAGAAGAAAATGTATTACATTGATGTCACTTCACCTCAATCATAAGAAATTACTGTCAAATACTCAGTTAATATTGTAACAATTCAACTAGAGCAGACTTTACCCAAATGTCCCAGTATCCTCTAAAATAGGACTTTCAAAAGTTGTGGTGCTATTTCACTCAAATCAAGAATTTCATCTGTTTTCATGGAAGCTGGAAATGCACTATTTAATATGACCCATATGTCTAAGATATTTGATGTTCAAAAAGATAGTGAGGTTAAGCTCAACTGTCTATGCTATAGGATAAAAATGTCATTAAGCTTCTCTTTTGGAGGGTTAAAAGCTTATGTTTATAGATCAAAAATTAGATTAAAAAGAGGGCTGCAAGGATAGCCAACATTTTGGCCCTAGCCTTTCAAGGTCATTGAGGAATCAAGACATCAGAGAACCTGTAATGTACTATCCTGTAAATCAGTGATGTCTAAATTTTCTGATCAAGGAGATTATGGGGTCACAGAGGAAAGTGATCAATGATGTAGAGTGTGCCTAAGCAGAGTCACATGGAGAGAAATCATTCTCTCAGGCTTTCACAGAGAGCAAATTAATCAAGCAATGGTCAAGACTCAACCACATGGACAAACTGAAAAATATCTACAAACTGCAGTATAGGATTTCAGGCTAAGTCCTCAGGGGATTTGACTGACCTTGGCAGATACAAAAATTACATTTCATGTTATGTAGGTCCTTGCTTTATCTTGGTCTTAACCATTCAGCAGAAAAATATAGAAACAAGGTATGAAAAGTAAAGCCATATTAATGTGCTGAGCTGTAAAAGGCTCAAATCAACAACTTCTGACATTGTCAGTCCTATGGATAACCCACTACTATTATGGACTACTAGACTATATAGGATTATTTTGCTGAATTAACACAATACAATATTTAAATGACAATGAAATACCCATCTCTGACAAAACTGAATAAAAAAGGGGATATAAATGAAGGATCATTTTGTATCTGTATATAAAAAATAGTTAGGATTTTTATACAGCTACTTTCCCTTAATTCAATGAGAAGAAAGATTTATACTAATAGTGTTTGGACACGATATCATGTCTACACCGTGTGGTATGAATAACCACTATGAAGACAGCAATATGCAAAGTATTAAATATTGAAACTGTCCTTCTAATCAGTTTTGAAACTGTTTCATTGCTATTTGTTTTTCAATAAAATTAATAAAAAATAAAAATAAAAAAATTAAAAGAATATGACCAGTAAAGAAAAGGAGAAAAAGAAATGGCAGGCAAGTTTGTATACCTAACTGAGACTGTGATTAACTCTTGCACAACTGGAATCCCTCAATTGTTTTTGCTATAGCGATGATAACTGTGCTGGTGGACACAAGTGGAAGCCAGAAGGTACAAGGAAAAAAACAAGAGTGTATCCATTGACATTCAGGGAATGATCTGTCCAGAAGCAGAGAACATGGTCACTGTTGAACCTACCCAGCAATAGTGAAGTATATTTATTAGTGATATCACTGATGATTTCACTTACTTTAATTTTTATGTGGTAGCAATAAGTTATATTAGGTTGACATTTTGTCTCCATTTGACTTTCCTTGGTCATGTAAAATACATTATAATTTTCTAATCATGACATAAGCTAAAATGTTACCATAAACTCTTCAGAATCTCAGAATTCATTTTATTATTTATTATTATTATTATTATTATTATTATTATTATTATTATTATTTTGTATTAAGTACAAGGTCTACAGAGTTTCACTACATAGATCGAACTTGTAGTGATTTGCCTTTTTCAGCCTCCCAAACACTTGGATTACAGGTATGTGCCACCTTTCCTAGTCTTAATGGGCATCTCATCTTGCCTCGGGGGCAGGGCCAGCATGACACTCCAGAGATCGAACCCTGGACCCTGAATCTGCCTACAGAGGTGCTTTAATCTCTGAGCTATCTGTCCAGCACTCTCAGACTTCCTTTTAGTATATCAACATCAGAAAAATATGTGTAAACATGGTATTGTCCCCTAGTGTAAGAACCTGAAAGAGTAGGTAAAATCTGAAAGGTATAAATGATAGTATGAAACAGAAAAGAACTGCTGAAGGGAAAGGAATAAGTGGGGTAAGGGAAAAGAGAAAAGAAAGATGGAAGGGAAAATATACATTTTAGATAATTGCACTGCTGATTTCTATTGGTCTATTGAAAGGAACAGTTAATGCTTATTTTTTCTTCTTTCTAATCTTTTATAACTTTTTGATCAATCTTACATGCTTATATATGGTAATCTGAACAACTGATTTGAAGACAATAACGTGCAATATAATTAACATTGTTGAATTCCTATCAGTTTGTTTAGTGAAATTCTATATTGTGTCTAACTTTTTTCTCTCTAAAACAAAGAACAAAGAAGAAATACACCAGTGTGTTTAACTACAATGTCTACAGTTTCTATATAACAAAGAATAGCAAAACCCATTAGGTTTGTCCTACATAATTCTAAGACATTAACTGAAAAACAAAACATTGCTGAATATTTTCTTTTAAAAGAAAATGGTCCATATTGGAATTCTTTCCATATCCTATTATAGACCAAATCCTTATCTATACTCAAATACCTCCTAAAAACTCTGAACCCACACTTGAAATTGTTTGCTTATCATCCTTATTAATGACTTTATGTACCACTCAAATCTTACTCTTTTGGAGCAAAACAATATTTCAAAAATGAGAGGTAGGGAAAGACAGAAAGAACGGGAGAGAGAGAGAGAGAGAGAGAGAGAGAGAGAGAGAGAGAGAGAGAGAGAGAGAGAGAGAGAGAGATTGCACTATGACTCAATCTCTTTTGATTTAGCTTCTAAGTTTTATTTCTGCTTAAATAATATAAATCATTTCAAAAAAATTTTTCTGTGCTTAGGACAGGGTCTATAGTGTCTCACTAGGTAGATTGAACTCACAGTAATTTTCCTGTTTTCAGTCTCCCAAGTGCTGTGACTACAGGCTCACAACTCCATGCCCAGTCTCAATATCCATCTCAGGCTGCCCTGTAGGCAGGGCTGGCATGGCATGCCAGGAATTGAACCCTGGCCACTGTGCTCTGCCTAAGCAGATGCTTTAGTCAGCTGAGATATCTGGCCAGCCCTCATTTCACAATAAACCTAATTTTTCCCTCAGTTTCAAACTATTTAGTGAATAACTTTCTCATGTATAAGTGGAAATAATTATGAATGTTGATGCATGCATAAAAGTTCAAATTACTGATTAACTATGTTGTTATTTTTATATGGATATTTTAAAAATGCCTGTAATAGTGTTATAGACAAGCATAATTTTTTTCTGCAGTAAGTTTAGATTAAGTAAATAAATACAGAGCTTACATAATTAGGTCAAATATCACAAAACCAGACTGATAGAATAATATGTCTTAATAAGTATATTTACATCTATTCCTGTCCTATCTCTATATTCCTGGGATTCAGCTATCCAAAACCAACCTGCATATTCCTTCTGAATTTGTCATTAGATCATTACACACGAAGGACTAATTCTATTCTGATGGTTTAGTCCGCCTCACACACCAAATCCCCAGGAAAAGAATACTTTAATAATAGTGACCATTACATGATCCTCCCAATTTTAAGTCTTGATACTTACCTTTTTTCTTCTCCTTCTCCTTCTCCTTCTCCTTCTCCTTCTCCTTCTCCCTTTCCTCCTCCTC